GCCTCCCACACACACAGACGGTCAGAACAGCCTACATACATGCTCATCCTGATGAATAGCAGATAGCCATTAAATGGTGGTTGAAATGTGACCCCTTTTCTAATGTTACAGCAAATCAACAGACCTGCCAGACTTCACATAGTCTAGTTGGACGATTTGTATGGATCCATAGAGACATGTAAGGATCCCCCAAATTCACAAGTTAGAAGCCTCATCACGACATAGGTGAACGAGAAGGTGACACTGGCGGGTAGGGCGGTCGGGATATGGCTGGGACAGCGCTCACTTTATTAACTAGATTACCTTTTTGTCCTTATCACAGAACCTTTGGCATTACAGGTGTATTGTCAAAACCATGAATGATAAATCCCTGAATATAAAAAGGCATACCTTATAAATTATATCCTACCCCTTATTTCCTGAGTTAATTGTCTACAACCTCAAAAATGCTCTACTCTTCTAGATTTTTCTCATTAAGTAGAAAAGGAATCACAGTTAAGTCTTCTTAAGATCTCTGGAGATAGGAGGGCTTTCTTTTTAATCGAGCATGGTAAAGGGGAGCCACTTTATGATGTGGTAGGAAGGTCTTCCTAATCTGTTCCCCTTCCTTCCCTGAAGGATTTTTAAAGCTCATCTGGCCCCTAGAGAGCAGCAGAGAACTTTACTTGAATAATGAGGCTATATGTATATACACACATATTTATGTCTTGTGTTTCTTTTCTCCCAAAGTTGAACAAGGTGAGATAATGCTAGAACAGAGGAACAAAATCATAATCTTTAAGTGAAAAGCAGCCATCATAAAAATAATAAAAGAATAGAATAGTATATATTAGGAAAGTCTAGGATAAAGAGAAAAATGTAACCACTCAGGAACAGAAATAACATTTTTCTTAAGGCAAAAGAGATCTACTATAGAAAATTTATTGGTGGTAAAAAAACAAAATCAATAACAAAGAGCATGAGGTGCAGAGATTATTACAGTGTTAATCAGACCCCTGGTCTCACATTTCTACTCGCCCTAAGGACAGCTTTGCTTGCCTTTTATAAAATCTATTAACTTCACGCTGTTTGCACCCAGTCCATCAGTCTGTCCTGTAGACTAGTCTTGGCTTCCTGCAGCAGTCTGTCTTTGTCCATTTGAGCTGCTATGACTAAAGTACCATAAACAGAGCAGCTTATAAACAACAAACATTTATTTCTCACAATTCTGGAGGCTGGGAGGTCCAAGATCATGGCCCTGGCAGATTTACTGTCTCTTGACCCACTTGCACACCAACGGCCTTTTTCTCACTGTAACCTCACGTGGCAGCAGGGGCCAGGGAGCTTCTGGGGCCTTAAGTAAGAGCACTCACCCCTTTCCGGAGGGCTCCACTGCATGACCCAGTCATCTCCCCAAGGCCTCACCTCCTGACACCATCCCTTTGGGGGCAGGATTTCAGCCTAGGAGTTTTGGAGGGCATGCATTTAGTCCATAGCACTGCCCTTCCAAGTTTCCCCATTGCTTTGTTTTGCTCCCATTTGGTGCGGCTTTTCATCCCTCTTCTTCAGGCCCACGTCAGGTTGTATTATCCTTCTGAAATGTCATCCCATTCACTGCTTCAGTCCCGCTCTTCTGACGCCGTAGAATTCTTATCGCCGTTACTTCCTGTCTAGCTTGCTACAGGCTCCTGCCTCCAGGCCCCCTCCTGACCAGTCCAGCTCAAGTGCACGGGTGGCTTTGCCCTGTAGTAGGACAGTGTACATTTACTGACTATTTTGTTCTTACGACTGGGTGTGTAACACTTAGAAGAATTCTAGATTCATAAGTTATTTAAAAACAAATGGTTAACTTAACCTCATGGTTTTATGAAGCAAGTCATGCCCTACTAATATGCTCAGATTGACAGGCCATATTTTATGGGGCCATGTAAAAAGAAAATAATTCTAGGAAGACTGAAGAGAGAAAACTTACTAAATATGAAAAGACTTGGCAGCAATTTTATTGTAAGATTCTTGAAGTTGGTGTGAGTGAGATGTTGAGAAACTCACAAAATCACTGACTGCCTACTTGGAGATAAATGCTGGAGGGGTAGGGGAGCGACTGAACATGCACACATACTCTCCTTGGCCACAGCACAACAGTTGTATTTCTAAAAGACTTCATGATGAGATAATCCATGATTGAGATATTTAGGTCGAATGGGAAAAACAGCATTTAGGTGTTGATGTCATTTATGAATCCTGAAAAACCTATAAAACAAACTCACTTGTACTTAAAGGCAGCACTAAATAGAATATAAATAAATTATATATCTTAAGTTAGTAATAATGGCCACTAAATGTCAATTCATTGATGTCTAGAAACAAAGTTTTTTACTCCAGGTTCAAAAGAACATAAATTTATTTTAATGGTCACAATTTTATTGTAATTCAGTACAATTCATTAACATTTTTGTAAATTCATTTTGCATTAAATTGTGGGATGGAGGGGTTGACAGTACAGAATGTAGTAAAAGGAGTTGTCAGACTTTTTTTGTTATGGAGGGAAAAGAGTCAGAGACCCGCGGTACTCAAGAGACCCCCGGGTGAGCGCGTATATCTCGGAGTGGCTCACTCCTAGGTGACTCACTCACCGTTCGCTGGGCACAGTCTGAACAAACCTGTCCTCAGGCCAGCCACGCCTTTGGGCTGCCTTTCTCTTTCGATCGTCCCTAATTAAAGGAGAAAGGAGTTTATGCTGCTCTTTTTCATTACTTATTTACTTCTGTGTAGTGAATGGGGCTCCTGGCCAATGAGTGAGCTTAGATAGTACTCGTTTCTTCAAACACATCTTTCTTCGTCATTAAAAGTGACTTTGTCATTTGTCCATTCTTCTAGAAACATTGTCTAGTATTTTTCCAGTACTGTGCTCTGTACTAGTTATACATTGGTGCATAAAGCGGGTCCCATCCCTTTCCTTGTGGAGTTTATATCCTAAAAGAGGAAATAGACAAGAAAATTAAAATTGCAGCTCCTTCCCAACCCCTCCCCATGTTCTTTAGTATTTTTTATAGTGTTTATCAATCTCAAAGACTCTACTTCCTTGTTTGATGCCACTACAAAGTGTCGGCTCTGTGAAGGCAAGGATTCTGTGCGTCTTGTTAAAGGAGTATTTGTGAGCTGAGAAGTGAGAAAGACACCTGATGAGCCACCACGTCCCCCTGATTCCGTTTCTCCAGACCGTCCCGGCCCCACTGCTGCTTCCTTAGGCCAAGTCCCTTTTAATTCCCACCTAATCTACTAAAGTAGCTTTCCTAACATTTTTCCTGCCACGTTGGCACTTCTCCCCTTCAGACCGCCCCCAGTAATCTTCGTAAAAGTCAGGCCTGAGTATCTTTGGTGATCTCCCATCTTCTAAGGGTGAATCAGACCCCGCAGCTTTTCATTACCGGGTCACCCTGTCGGTCCATCTGTCCAGCCTCGCCTTTCGCATTTCCCTGCCACTCCGTGCTCTCCCTCTTCAGGTGTATGCCCAGCAGTGCCCATGTCCTGCTCTTCAGGCTTCTTTGCAAAGTGCAGTGGCCGGACCAGAATCATCAGCATGATGCGGACACTACTCAGAAATGCCCAGTCCCGGGCCACGGCCCAGACTCCCCGAGTCGGGAAGCCTGGGAGGAGGGCTGAGCGGGTGGCACCGGCCTTCTGGGTGACCGGGATGTGCCCGAGCCGGAGAGCTGCTGCTTTCATCCTTCTTTCAGGTTCATTTCCTTGACAAGCTCAGCCAGTAGCTACCCTGTGTTCAGTATCGCTTTCATTTGTGTGACTCCTAGTCTATTTCATCAGCCCTGATACCTGTGTCACCCTACTTCTTAAATGATGTGTTGGACATCTTTCCTGGATATGTACCCCCAACTCTGTAGGCTCCAAACAAAATGCGTCGTCCCCCTGCTGCTGAAATCTGCTCTGTGCACCGAGTTACAGGTTTCCCCCTCACAGCCTTGAATTGTAGAATGTACAGTATATTCTTACTGGTTTCTCTTTTGTCTTACTCTAGAGGAACAACAACGAAAAGATGTTTTAATACTCTACTAACCAAAATAGGGTCAGGATTTTCCAGGCAATAAAGTTACCATTGTTTGTAGGCCATCCGTTATTGTAGAAATGTATTTTTACCTTATTCTCCTTACTTTTTCCCTCCCACCTCTTTCCCCTCCTCGGTCTTTCTCTCATTTTAAGAGCCTCAAGATGATTTACTTTGCCTCTTGACCTCAGTTACCCAAGTTTTGCTGTAAAACTGGAGGGATTCTTGACCCTGGGCCAAGAGAATGGCAGACACTGCCTGCACCAAGGTCCAAGCAGGAAACTTTCAGATATTGGTGTACTTTCTGCAGTAGGTTCACAGCAAATATTTTTAAAATGAATAAGTTAATAGGTAGGCAAGTCTCAAAGGATGGGCAGATCTCCAAACTTGAAGAAAGCACGGGAGATTGTGGCTAGCGACAAAAGGAACCTCAAGGATTTGAGCAATAAGGAGTGAGAAATTTTGACACTCAAATATTTATTAAGTGAATAAATGAAAGATTTTAAAGGAAAGAACAAAAAGCCATTGTCACAGATGGTTAGATATTTCCTGAAGGAGGAAGAATAAATTTATATGTTATTTCAGTATACATTTTCAAGATTAATTTTTAAGATTCATGTTTATATGTGTGCATCCCTGTGAGCATTCAGTTTGATATACATTTTTAATAATGTTCATGTTTATTTACATAAGTCATAAATTCTAATGTTTTGATCATATATGTTGGGCTATAACTTTTAGCTGTTATAGTTCTATTTTTGTTAAGTAGGAAAGACAATATATGTGTGTATGTATATATCTGTTAAATTGCACATAAAATTACCTTACGTATGAGGAATTTTTGTACTTGAAAAATCATAATATATAGCTATTTCACTATTTGAGATCTATTACCTCATAAAGAACATATGTTCTTAAGCTATAATAATAATAAACACTTTTCTTTTTAACACACACACAGGAAACCACGACCTGTCTCCCAGCTGGTCGCACAGCAGGTCACTCAGCAGTTTGTGCCCCCTACACAGTCAAAGAAAGAGAAAAAAGATAAAGTAGAAAAAGAAAAAAGTGAAAAGGAAACACCTAGCAAAAAGAACAGTCATAAGAAAACCAGGTAAACTTGAACAATGTTCTATGGCATTCATGAAATTTTAAAATTAACCATTTAATATTCTCTTTTAAAATTGATATGTGCAAAGTGGAATTAAAAGCTGCCGTCTCCTTTATAATAAAGGATCATGAAGCTGTTTTTCTGAGTATTAGAAGTGAAACACAGAGGCCACAGAGGCCACAAATAAAAGCTCAAATTTGAGGATGCTGTGTTTTTCTTACTAGATTGAAAGACATTTGTGTTTGAACTTTCTTTTTCATTCATAAAAAAGCCAGTAGTGATATTCACAGTCCTGAATAGATACTTGCATGGGCTTGAACCCAGTGCAGTGGTCATGGGTGTGGACGCTCGTGATGCCCTCATCAGTGCCCATCGGGAGAAAGGGCCTGGCCATCACTCAGCGCCCACTGCTGCCCGCTGCCTCTGCGGTGCGGCTGCTGTCGCTCTTCTGAAGCCTTCTAATAAAACTGATGAACTGTCCGCAAAATGTAATGAATCTGTAAAACCCAACTGGTATTTTCTGTATTATATAAAACATTTAAAACTCAAATAATTATAAGCATTTGGCAAAAAAAAAAAAAGAGAGAGAGAGAAAAGAAACCTGCCATAATTTAAAGCTGCAATTTTGGAGAAGCTTTAACTTAATAGTTTTATCTCAGTTTCCTGGCCCCAAACTTTAGCCAGGGTCATATAAATATGAATCTAATTAATATAGAAATGAGAACTGGAAAATAACTAATCTTAACTATGTAAATGTAAAATGTAAATAAAAGCACAATTAAGAGACTGTTACTTCCGGAGTATCATGGTTTTTTGTCACCTTGAAGAAGATTCATGAATGATTGGTACATTAATGTTAGTGACTTGAAACATTTAATTCTGTTTGTGTTGTCTAGTTGCGCATGAATCTAGAGCTTTAAACGTAGATGTATTCATTTCATTTTGTTATTTTTACCCACTTTATGATTCATTGTGTCGTCAGAAAGTTGGTAGACAGAAAAGCTAGTTTAAAATTGTATCATCTTTTGTGTTTAGGCCAAGATTGAAAAATGTGGATCGGAGCAGCGCTCAGCACTTGGAAGTCACCGTTGGGGATCTGACGGTCATTATCACAGACTTTAAGGAGAAAACGAAGTCGCCGCCCGCGCCCAGTGCCGCCTCCGCGGATCAGCACAGCCAGAGCGGCTCCGGCTCGGACAACACCGAGAGGGGCGCGTCCAGGTCATCCTCGCCCCGCGGAGAAGCCTCGTCACTGAATGGGGAGTCTCATTAAAGTTTATTTTCTCCCGTTTTTTAGTCACTTCTGTCATACCATGCAAATGCACAGATAATGCCAAGAAGTACCACATTTTCATGACAAACATATTCATGCACAATCCATAATTTGCTTTTTACATAAAATACGAATTTGTTACACTTATTGCAGTCTATGCCTACCAAACATTTCCAGACTTAACATTTTGGTCTCCACAGTCACAGGTACCATGAAAATGTGGTTGAATTATTCATTATGCAGTGTTACTGGTAAGTCTATTTTCACTTTTAGTTTAGTGAATTCTAACATATAATTCTTGAATTCTCTACTATTGGCATGTAATGAATTTAAATTTTTATAACATAGTGCAAGCTGCCTAAATGTATTATTTGAGAATTGTGAAACAAATAGTTATATGTATACAAGTCAAAAATCAACTATTGCTGCAACAGAATTTTCTTAATGGTTCTCCTCTTAAATACACCTGCTGGTA